TTTGATAATTACTTTTTTGTTCTAAAAGGTAAAAATATTTCCTTTAAAATACATTACTGCTTTATTTATCATGTCTGATGATAACACAAAATATATTAAGTTCCATTTATACAGGGTGATTCGTAAATATCGACATGGGCCAGTATATTTTTTTATAAGTATTAATGTAAAACACAGTATGTTTACGGGACTTTTGTGTATTTATCATATGTATAATTATCCAATTCATTGACTACAGGGTGACTTGATAAATATATTGATAGTTAATTTAACGAATGTGTCAAAAAAACAATTTTTTAAGCACCTTATACTTTTTGATTATAGTCCTTTAAAACTAGACATATTGTTTTCACTGGCGTATCAATTATTCTATAAAAGATATCTTTCAAAATTATAGTTTTTTTTATAGGTTTTTAAAATAGTTAAAAAACTTAAAAAATACCACATATTTGTTAACGGTTATTTCAGGAGAAGGCCAATTAATAATTTTTTGTGTCAAATCTTATTGTAACATCTCTTGGTATTCTACGAATATAAAAAGCTGTCAAAAATTATTTTCTTTTACAGGGTGATCCACAAATAAATAAGGACGTGTTTTTGATAATTACTTTTATTATTCTAGAAGGTAAAAATATTTACTAAAAAATAAATTATTGCTATATTTGTCGTGTCTAATGGTAATTAATATAAAAATATAAGGTTCCATTTCTACAGAGTGATTCGTAAATATTGATATAGACTAATATATTTTTTTATAAATATTAATGTGAAGCGCAGTATTTTTACAAGACATTTGTCTGTTTACTCTCACAATATTAAACTGCACTTAAAACTTAGATAACTATATTAATTATGTATAAAATATAATCTAATTTCATTACCGCTGATGAAAGGAAGCATGGCCCCTCGTCAGCATTTTCATTTTGTGTATATCGTATGTATGTAACATGTTTTTCCTCATTCAAGCAATAAATCTAGTAATAATTTATTTTCTTTTATAAGTATACGAGAATAATTTCACCACATAAACAATAAAAACAATATCCAAAACATGTCATTCGATAGAACAACTATTAATATATTTAACAAATTACTCTGTAGTTAATGAAAGTGACAGTTATAAATATGTTAATAATTCAATACTTACTTGTACAATAATATAACTATTGTAGATACATACACATACCTGTCACTTAAAAATATTGCGTATCACATTAAAATACATTGGTCTACGTTGATCTTTACTAGTCAATCTCTATAATATGTTACTTAAAATATTTTGTTAGGTTATTAAAAACGAAAAATCTACCAATAATTAATTTTTCGGGAAATATTTTCATCCCATAGACAGACCAATAAAAGAAATTACCAAAAACATATCTTTCCTTATTTGCGACTCATTTTATGGATGAACATATTTTAACCCCTGTGTATATTCGTGGAATGCCAAAAAATTGCAATTAATTAGCTTTTTCCTGGAATAACAGGTAACAAAAAGTGGGTATTTCTTAAGTCAAATCCTGTATATCCAAAACCTATTATATTAAAAAGCTGTAATTTTTTGGAATTTATTTTCTACAAAATGGTTGTTATACCAGTAAAGAAACACCTTTATAAGACTAAAAGTACAGGGTGATTTATCAAATTTTGTTGACACACTATTAATCTATCTATTTAATCACCATGTAATCAATAAATTGGATAGTTCTACATAATATGTTAATATTATAAAAAAATACACAAATGTATCTCAAGAACCTATCAGAAAAAAGCTATAATTTTGAAAAATATCTTCTATAGGATAATTGATACGCCAGTGAAAAAAATATGTCTACTTTTAAAGGACTAATCAAAAAGTATAGGGTGCTTAAAAAATTGTTTTTTTGACACATTCGTTAAATTAACTATCAATATATTTATCAAATCACCCTGTAGACAATCAATTGGATAATTATACATACGGTAAATACACAAAAGTCCCGTAAACATATTGTGTTTTACATTAAAACTTATAAAAAAAATATTACGAATATTTACGAATCACCCTGTATAAATGGCACTTAATATCTTTTGTAATATCATCAGACATGATAAATAAAGCAATAATGTATTTTTTAGGAAATATTTTTACCTTTTAGAATAATAAAAGTAATTATCAAAAACAAGTCCTTACTTATTTGTAGCTCACTCTTTAAAGGAAAATAATTTGTTACCCCTTTTTATATTTGTAGAATGCGAAAAGATGTTATAATAAGATTTGGCACAAAAAATTATAATCGAGTAGCTTTCTCCTGAAGTAATCGTTATCAAATAAGTGGTATTTCTTAAGTTTAACACCCTGTATCTCAAAAACCAATCATAGAAAAGAGCTGTTATTTTGGAAAATATCTGCTACAGGATAAATGATACGCCAGTGAAAAAATTTGTATACTTTTACAGGACTAATAAAAAAATATAGCGTGCTCAAAACAAATTGTTTTTATGACACATTTGATGAATTACCTATCAATATATTTATTAAATCACCCTGTAGTCAATGAATTGGATAATTTTATATATCGTAAATACAAAAAAGTCACGTAAAAATACTGCGTTTCACATTAATACTTATAAAAAAAAATATTGGCCTATGTCAATATTTACGAATCACCCTGTATAAATGGCACCTAATATCTTTTGTATTATCATCAGACATAATAAATATAGCAATAATTTAATTTTTTGTAAATATTTTCATCTTCTAGAACAATAAATGTATTTATCAAAAACACGCCCTTACTTATTTGTAGCTCACCCTGTGAAAGAAAATAATTTGTTACCCCTTTTTATATCTGTAGAATTCGAAAAGATGTTATAATAATATTTGGCACAAAAAATTATAATCGAGTAGCTTTCTCCTGAAGTAACCGTTACCAAATAAGTGGTATTTCTTAAGTTTAACACCCTGTATCTCAAAAACCAATCATAGAAAAGAGCTGTTATTTTGGAAGATATCTGCTAAAGGACGGATGATACGCCAGTGAAAAAATTTGTATACTTTTACAGGACTAATAAAAACATATAGGGTACTTAAAACAAAATGTTTTTATGACACATTTGATAAATTACCTATCAATATATTTATTAAATCACCCTGTAGTCAATGAATTGGATAATTTTATTTATCGTAATTACAAAAAAGTCCCGTAAAAATACTGCGTTTCACATTAATACTTATATATAAAAGATATTACAATAAGATTTGGCACAAAAAATTATAATCGAGTAGCTTTCTCCTGAAGTATCCGTTACCAAATAAGTGGTATTTCTTAAGTTTAACACCCTGTATCTCAAAAACTAGTCATAGGATTTGAATGGTCCCATGGACACTATTGCTTAGGAGGTCGAGAACTGCAACATATCAAAAATTTATGATATTTAACAGGTCGCCACTTTTCCATAAGCGGTGTGCGGGGTCCAATTTCAGGAAAACAGGAAAGGCTAGGCACCTAATTTTCGCCCTCAAGAGGGCGCTAAAATCAAAATTTGACACAACAATATTGATATTACTGAATTGCTTTTTTAAAAATATGCCACACTTAGTACTTTCTCTATCTTAATTTTAGGGGTTGTTCATCCCACTGCTCGAGCGTTGAAGTGTCAATGATGCAATTAAAAAAAAAATGTATCACCTTCCAAACAAAAATGGATGTGTCCGAGCATTTCGTCTTTAAATCTGAGGGAACCAAGAAAACGGAAGTGGATTCTTTTTATTGGACCATATATTATGAAAAATATGATTATTTTGAGGTAAAATAAAGTTTAAATCTAACACTGTATGTATGTATGTTGTGAAATGAACCTTGATTTTTTACTATTTAAAAAAAACTGCCTAATTCACCAACGTCATGGTTTCTTCTTTTTCTTTAATTTATTTCTAAAAATTTATTCTAACTTAAAAGCATTAACGAAAACAAAAAACGACATATGTCTTCTACGTCTAAATTATTCTTTGTTAGTGGTATTTTAGGTTAAATTTAACGCGAAATTTAGCGTTATGAGTACGATTATTAATGTTTGACGAATCTTTGGTAACGTGTCAAATTTCGCAATCCGCATTCCGCTATTTTGAGTACTTGCCTGTATTAGTTCTTCCAAATTGAAATAAAATTAAAATTATTAAAGTGACTTCAAATTAAGTACAAAATTACAGTAATTTCGAAAACGATTCGGAATATTTGGGATCTGTTCATTTTATTTTATTACTCCCTTTAATACACTACTCCTACCCAATTTAATATAATCTGTACATTCAATTATTTACGTGTTCACTATGTTCTACATTCATGTATGGACATATTATACATACAGGGTGTTTATAAATTTATGCGACAAAATTCAGGAGGTGATTGCTCGTATGAAATTAAGATGGGTCTTTCCTATAAGAAAATTTCCTCAGCCCACCCCTTTCCGAGATATCACCCTTAAAAGGTGGTGACTAAATTGAGTTTTTAGTTTTGTTCTAAAATGTATTTTGGCTTGAGGTGGTCATTTTCAGCATTTAATATCAATCGTATTACATTTTACATCTTTACTGTTTTCCACTCAATTTATTAAAAAAATTATAAATTATGATGTTTATTTTTTGCTCTGCAGCTATTGGTTTTGGGAAAAAAATTAAAGATAAAAATTATTTTTAAATAAAACAAGGATTTTAAGTTATAATTTTATTTTATAAAACTTAATCTCGAAAAAATATTTTAATATGAAATAAAGTAAGAGTTGCTAATTTCACCCCCCTATAATGTAACAGAAATATTAAAAAAATACCCGTGGTTAGTCCTTTTTGATTGCACGAAAATTACCACCTTTTAAGGTTGATATCTCGGAAAGGGGTGGACTGAGGAAATTTTGTTATAGGAAAGACCCATGTTAATTTCACGAGCAATCACCTCCTGAATTTTCTCGTATGAATTTAGAAATACCCTATATATCATCTCTGTAACTTTAACTAAACTTACCAGATGTGATTAGATTTTCCATAATAATTACAGCGTCTTTGTCAACTACATCGCTTCCATTTAAATTTAACCTCCCTCCATAAAATTCTACGAAACAATTAATAACATCCTTTATGCCATTTTCTTTTTGAAACTCCCGTAGCATAGGCACAATTTTTTCATAAAACAGAATCTCAGCTCTGAAGGTTACTTGAATGTTAAAACTTTCTTGCAGTTGCTTTGTTGGAGGAATTTTTTTACCTACAGCGTGAATAATGTCTCTAGCTTTGGTATTTTCATCTTCAACCGTTATTTCTAACCCTAAAAGTTCTCCTCCATAGTTTTCTCCTGGAGCGACCAAGGCTGTGGAGCTGGTGTCAATGAGTTTTTTTCCTTTTTCGATTCGATTTGATAATATTTGCTCTAAATCTTTTATAGGCATATTTACTTGAAGTTTGTTATATATAAAAATATAAAATTTTCTATTTTCGTGGCAATGAAATTTAAGTTGAAGGAGGGTTGCCTAAAAATAAAAGAATTAAGCTTTACACATATTATAATAATAATATAAAATTCGTAAATTAGAAGATATTAAAAACGATGAAATATCAAATGTATTATTTTTTCTTTTAAATTTTATTTTTTATCTACAAAATTCAAGATAATATATTGAGTATTTAAAGGTGTTCACAAATATAGCGCGCTGGGCCTGTGTCGCGTCGTCTCAACAATGCTGCTTTCCTACCACGCGTCGCGTTAAATTAAGGATCAAACTAGGTCCGTTGCCTATATACCTGGAGGTAACGACATAAATTTCCGCGTAATTTTCGAAAGTTAAATTTTTTTATATGAGTTATGCAAGGAATATGTAACTCTATAATAAACGTTTTCCGAGGCACCCTTACGACATGGGGTTGCAGGAGGGTTACAATTACAGTAAAAAAATTATAAAACAAATCATTTTCGCATGCACGAAACTTGTTATACACGGTAATTTAAACAAATAAAGTATAGAAAATATCGTCTTCCGCCTGAATTTCACCCACCTAAATAAGTAAAAAAAAATTAAAAAAAAATTATATTCGCAAAGCTGAAATTAAGTGTAATGCTTATTTTTGTAATAATAAAGCTAAAAATAATAGTCTTCCATCAATACAATACAACAAAGGTCGTTTTCCAAGCTGATAGAGGTGCGTGTCACATGCGGCACGTGCTAGTTATAATTTCCAAAACGGAACATTTCTTTTTAAAAAAATTTATTAATTAAAAATACACAAATGGATATTTAAGACAACTCCGGACTAAAGCCTACACTGAATATACTCCAAATAACAATATTATTAAGGTATTACTCCTATTTATAAACTAAAAATTATTATTAAGCAAAGATAATCTAATTATAACATAAAAGAGTCTATTATGTTCACAATATAATAACTCCTTCCTCCTTAAGTTTTGAAAAATATGGAATTATTTTTTAAAACATTTTCTGTGGGATTTTCTAATTTAATTTATTCGTTTTCTTTCTTTTTTGCTTCTATATCTTCTTAAAAGTTATCTTCTGTATTTAACTAGTATTAAAATAATTACAAAAATTGTTTCAAAAGTGCTTGAATTAAAATTATTTTGAATTTGTTTAATTGGCTTTAACTGTTTAGAAATTTGATTAGTTTTATGTAAATTATTAAAATCTAATTTAGTTATATTAGAAGTAAGATTTTGAAGTTTGAATTTTCTTTATGTCGATCTTCGGTAGAATGAATGGTTTTCCTCTGCTCAGTTGAATGTTGTTGATATATCTTCTTTCATTTGTCCAAATTTTCAAGATTTTGGTATCTTAATTAACACAGGTGACGTTATGTCTATATACTGGTTACTGTAATATTTTGAAAGAATTTGTTTAAGTTTTGACGGGATTATTAAGACTTCATCGACTGCGATTTGTTCGAATACTGATTCTTCTAAATTAACATTTAAAATATGACAATTTGTCAAAGTTATTTATTTGTTTAAGAAGTTGGAGAGTACAATTACCTCTGGGAGTGAAATTCTGTTGACAATAATAGATTTAGTCAGGGGATGGACATCGTTCTCGTTCAAACTATGTATCTTGATGTTTTCGTGCCAAATAGGGGAATAAAAATGTATACACTTTTTGGCTTTGGATAATTGGAAATAAATGATAAAATTCAAAGGTATTACTTTTAAAAATGGGAAAATGTATTGCAAACATTAACTAAATTCTGAAATTGATACTTGCGTTCCTAAGATCTGATAATACGTTAATAAATTTGTAAATTTCGGAATTTCATCAACATTATATATTTTATATAAATATTTTATCATGTGTTTTATGTCTGAGCTGGAAACTATAGAATTATGTAAAGTATTTAATTTTGCAAAGGTTTTCGCACTTTCTAAATTATCTATAAAAGAAAATGCCATTTGACAATCTAAACCAATTTGTGATATAATGGCCTGAAAACGAATATAACTTTCAAGTGTATCGATTCTAGTATAAATAGCTGCTTGAATTTTTTCCATATCAACTATAAATTTTTCCTGATTTTTGCCTATGATTGTGATTGATTTATTGTAATGATCAACAAGCCTTTTGTACAACGAAATTTAAAGATTTGTTTTACTGATAATATTATATAATATAATAATATTATTTCTTCGTCGTCAGAATCAATATTTCCAAATAGTCATTTTGTTAATTTTTCCAAATGCATTTATTAGAGCTCTTTTATGTCTTGCATGAGGAATTAAATTAAAATCTTTTTCGGAAGGGTAATTACTAGATATTCTGTTCTTGTTAACATATTTTGTGATAAGCTATGATAAGATATAGGGTTGGTAGCGTTAACATGAACTATACTATGTTTTATCGATTCAAAATGATTAACTAAATTATTAACTTGTTTAACTACCTCTTCTAAATCTAAATAATGTAAAAATGTATGTTTGCTATATATAAGTTTAGCGTTTCCTATCTTAATAGGAAGCAGATTTTCAATCGGAGTGATCTGTGTATCAGAAGATGTACTATGTATTTGGTATACATAAATGACTTGTAGAACTTGTACTTGGGACAGCGTCGTTATCAAAATGGATTTAATTTTCGTTAGTATCCTGTAACAATTTTTCTAAATTATTTTTCGATTTTCTAACAATACTTTTATGATAGGTACCCTAATCCGTTTTTATTAAAATACCTTTATCTTCAATGACATTTACCTTTTTAAATTTTGTTAATTTTTTATTTCAAGATTTTGTTTTGACAAAACATGAGTTTTGATTAGAATAGTCGTTTGGTTAAGATCTCTTTTCACTTAATTTGTTTATTAAATTTTCTTCTACTTCTGCGTTACGTTGTTTAATTTTGTTATACAACTGTTTATTAATTTGTTTATGATCTTGTACATAATTAGAAATTATTAAGTGATCGTCTAAATCAAAGGGATTTGGATTATCAATGTGTCTTTTAATTATTTCAAACGGGGTGAACTTTGTTATTGAATGTATACTATTATTATAACAAAATACAGAATTTTTAATTAGTCGATCTGGTGTGAAATGTTTGTGTTAAGAATCACCCTATATTTTTTTTTAGTTGTCATAGATTGTTTTACTGTCATGAATTAATATCGTTGTCATTCATGATTTTAAAAATAAAAAAATACGTTCAAAACTCTACGATTTATTCGATAGCAATAAACATTGGTCCTTTGAGCCAGATACGTGCCAGCGGGTGAAAACCAAAAGCGATAGCCATACGAAGCGAAAAGCGAAAAGCCAAAATTCAACCGGGAGAAGGAAGAAAAAGGGTCAGTAGTAAGTTTCTGTTCTTCACTCTTTTCCTTCCTTGTATATTCGATTTATAAAGTATAGAAACTGTTTAAATAATTAAAATATTTCTCTTAAGGAGACGTCAAAATGACTGAGATTGAAAAACTCGTTAGAAAACGATCTAACTTAATAAAATTCTTGAAATCGTTCAAAAAATTTGTTAACGTAAATGAGAAAAACACCGTTGGTATAGATAATTCGGAATTATTTTTAATTAAAATTGAGTCAAGACTGTCTAGAGTAGATGATAGTCTAGATAAGTTTGAATTACTTCAAGAACAAATTGAAGAATTGGTCACAGATACACAATTATTGGTAGATCAAAAGACCATCTGTACAAAATACTTTTTTTAATTTAGTCAGTCGAGCAAAATTACTAATAGAGGAAACAAAAACGGTGTTGCAAGAGCCATCAAATGAAAGGCAAGTCACTAAAAATGACTTTAAATATGCGGAAGTGATACTTCCAGCAATTCCGCTGCCTCATTTTGATGGATCTTACAATTCCTGGGTAGAATTTCGAGACAAGTTTAAATTTCTCATACATAATAACGAAAAAATTAGTGACATTCGAAAGTTTCACTATCTGCGTGAAAGTCTATCCGGAAAAGCAGCTCAAACTATTAAATCCATTGAATTAGGAGATCAATATTATCAAACGGCGTGGATTACATTATGCGACAAATTTAATAATTCTGAAAAATTAATTTCCAATCACATAAGCGAAATTTTTGATTTCGAAGCCATTATTAAACCTTCTTCCTCTAAATTACATGAACTTGCTGACACTGTGAATAATAATATTGAGTGTTTAAAGCAACTCGGAGAACCAACAGATCACTGGACTTCTCTAGTAATTTTTGTGAACTTAAGAAAACTTGATTTAACTTCTCAACGGGAATGGAATCAACAAAACATTAATTTAAAAAAACCGATACTTATCAAAAATTTGTTAGATTTCATTAATAGCAGAACTGATTTTCTGGAAGATCTAGAGGATGGAAAATCCTACATAAAATTAAGCGAAAAAAAATTCGAAACTTCGTCTAGCTTCAATAAAAACGAAACACAATTAGGCATTCCAACGACCTGTCAAACAATAGGTGCCAGTGGGAAATTCTTGTATATTTAAGGGGGTAGCGACATAGTCTTGCAACTTGGACGCTATTTTTATTCGAAGTAGTACTCGCCAAGCCTGCCAATTTATGAAGAAATGTATAGGTGGGTTTTTTAAATATTATTTTTATTGTGTTTGACATAAAATATTTAAATGTAATCCATTATTCATGATTTTGCGTATAGTAGATAGAATACACCATATGTCGCCACCCTTAGATATACCAAACCTGCCCACTGGTAATTCATTTGTTTGGAATGCCTAATTTCGTAAATTGTTTTTTTTTTCAGACTTCCTAGCTTTAAACGTAAAAGACAGAATGTCAAAAGTCAAATATCTAAATTTGTGTCACAACTGCCTTCGAAGTAATCACCAAGCTAAAGACTGTAGATTAGGAGGTTGCAAATTGTGTCACGAAAAACATAATACAGTGCTTCATTTAGACCAAACATCCCAAAAAGCGTTTTTAGTTACCGATCGTAAGAATGCGAATGCAGAAGTTGAGGTAGAAGATTCAGCATCTACCTCTACTTGTGCATTGGCTACTGACACAT